CAATTATGGGTCTCATTCTCCTAAAGAGCCTTGAATATAATCTCAGGGCTAGGATGAAGGAGACGTTACTGGGGCCTGCTCGAGGCAATCAATGAATTTGGGATGATGATGATGATGATGATGATGATGATGATGATGATATTTGTTTTCAGGTCACACCCAGCAGTGTGTGCTCAGGATTCACTCCTGGCCCTGTGCTCAGGAATCACTCCTAGCAAACTTCAGGGATCTTACAGGATGCTGGGGTTGGCTGCATGCAAGGCATGATAGCATGGAGCTCTAAGCGCTACACCATCACTCCAGCCCTGAGACTGATCTCGTTTGAAGTGACATGCATGATACCATATTAGCAACAGTACTGTAAACTACAATGCTTAAAAGGAAAGAGAAAAAAAAAGAAGAAGAAGAGGTTGAAGATTCGCAGTTAGTTGAGATTCCTGCCCTCAGTCTCAGTAATGACAGTGAAAGGCAGAGGAGGCAGTAGGAAGGGCCCTAGTAGGAATGTGACTTATCAGCAAATAATGGGGGGGGGGGAGGAGGGAAGGACTTGGGCAAAGAGGTCTGAAAAAGAATTTCAAATTCAGAGTTCTTAAAAGCTAGAACCAAAACTTCCAAAGAGCTAGTGTCAGAACTGCACCAGGCAGGAAGAGGAGGGCCGGCCTGAGGCTCTCTGAATGGCCACAGGCAGTTCGACCAGATAGTCAGGGCAGGTAATCAGGGCAGGGCACAAGAAAACACTCTGTTGGACTGCCCATGAGACCTGCATGTCAAAACCCCCCTGGGCCCAGAATAAGATGGCACACCCAACTGAAGCTGGAGAGAAACAATGAGCAAAGGAAAACAGCAGGTCTGGACTCTGGAGTACTAAGGAACAGAAGTCACGCTCAACAGAGTCAATCTGAGAAAGCAACCAAATTCCGCTGACGACCATCTTGTCAAGAAAAATTCTCTACTGTGCAATGAGGCTGGGTAGCTCAAAGGATCCAGCTGCACAGTGAAGGTGAAGAGCACCTCCAACAGCCATTGCCTTTGTGGGGTCGAAATGAGCTTCCCACTGTCCACTGGCAACTCTAAGACACGAGAAACTCACCATGGCTGCCCCTGCCTTCCCTTTCTGACACCATCTCAGCCTCAAGCAAGAGAACCAGCCTGGTGCTAAGTGACGCCTGGCCACAGCTGTAGGTCTGTCCCTTCCTCTGGAGCCACATTAGCTCTTCTCAGCCTGGAATTTTACACAGTAAAATTTCACAACTACCACAAATTCTTTGTGAAAAACATCGCAGTGTTTGTGACAGGTGCAATACCCACCTGCTACTGCTGCATACGGCTGTCACTGCTCTTCCTGGGACTGTCCCTGCCCTTCTGTACTCAAAAGTCACCTGCTCAGGACTGGAGAGATGCCTCAAAGCGTGGCAGTACTTTCTGACTAATAACTGTTACTTCCCACAGAGTTGCCAAGAAGTCCCTGGGTGACAAGCTGATTTGTGGCCTACCCATGTACTATTTTGTGCTACTTAGGGCCATTTAGGGCACATGTGTTTCTTAGAAATCCCATGTTCAGGTATGACCATCAGCACAGCCCCGAGGACTTGCCTGGCTTCTCTTCCCACTAGGAGCAAAGGCTGTTTCTTGAAGCAATGACTGTGAAGAACAGTTACATGATGGTGGTACAAGATAAAAGGGAAAAAAGCAAGAACAGGAGTGAAGGGTAAGAAAAGAGGCAGAAATGAGGTTTTGTTAGTTTTTAATACTACAATAATATGCTTTTGGTCCTTCAGAGTAGGCACTCAAGAAATACTATATCAATGAAAGGATATGCAAAATGCAAGATAACATACTATAGATAAATAATATATATAAATAAAATATAAAATAAAATTTATAAATAAAAATACTCATACTTTCTACTATGGAAAATAGTATTGAGAAAATAGAAAAAAAAACAAAACTGGCCATACTTTTACTTCCAAATCTTATCTTTAAATGTTCTATTTTATCTCTGCATTCTTTAAGTTGTAGAAATCTTAAAGCAAATTTCTTATTGAGTGGCTGCAGTAGTTGACGTAAAAAAACGATGATATGAATTGGGCTGCAACTGAATAGTTCTCTCCTAATTAACCTCTCTTGCAAACAGTACATGATTTGGGACTTTTAATTCTTGGTGCAAAGTAATTTGCTATAATTTACTAGTAATTTACTAGGGCAAGCAGGACAAAAGCACATATATTATACAAGAAATTTCCTCCAAGAGGGTTACTTTAATTAAGGTTGTAAGAAAATGAAGTTGCAGATTACAGGTCAAAATGTGACTCTGGACCCACATCCGACAACCACCTCCATGTAAGCTCATCCATCGCCCCAGCTTTACGGACTCATGACTACATCTCGAGACGCAAAACCCTTGGGTGCACTGGTCTCCCAGCTAAAATCTCTGGGGCGCCTGTGGGAGGGAAGTGGTTCAAGTACTGGCCCAGCTAACACCCCAGCCGCTGCCCCCACACCTCACAGAGGCAGCCATGCCAAAGACCCAACTCCACTGCTTCATGACTGATCTCTGCAGAGACCCCTAACTGACAAAAACTCCAGGTAACACCAGGACTAGAGCAAAGGGTATTCAAAAACATCAGAAAAGATGTCCCAGATACTCTTTTCTACTCATTTCATTGAATGTAACAACAAACACTCTTCCAGAAATAAACTTGCCATGCATTCACCCATATAACCACTTCACTCCCTCTGTTTATAAATAGCAAATGAATGATTAATAATTTTACATAAAATAATACTCGAAATATAATTAAAAAAAGAAATTGGTATAAAAGAGTCATTTTCTATTGCAAACCACAATGCTCAAAAGGGGGTGGGGGTGGGGGGGAGAGAGAGAGAGAGAGAGAGAGAGACAGACGGAGAGACAGAGAGAGAGAGAGGGAGAGAGAGAGAGAGAGAGAAAGAGAGAGAGAGAGAGAGAGAGAGAGAGAGAAGTACCTGCCATAGAGGTTTGGGATGGAGTGGACGGTGATGGGAGGGAAACTGGGGACAATGGTGCTGGAAAATTTGTACTGGTGGGGAGATACCCATATGAGATACTGTTGGGGAGCACTGTATGACTGAATCCTATTTATGAACAACTCTGTAAGGGTCTATCTCACAGTGATTCAATTAATAATTAATTTCTTAAAAAAAAAAACCTGGTTTTCAACTGCAAGACTGGCACCAGTTCATGAAAAAGTTATTGCCAGTCAAATAGCAGTTACAAGAACTTTTTCATAGACCAACAGGAAATTTCAATTGACCAGTTGTCAGTATGAAGGAACTTTATAAATTGCTATCAAAACAAATTCTTAAAGTTCCTAAAAGAAAGTAAAATCAACTGAATAGAAGAAAAAACCCTCCTGTTCCTTGGCTAAATTTCATCAAAATCAAAGTATGCCCAAGAATAATACACAGCTCCTATTAATGATGTCCCAGGGAAATTAACTGATGTTATGGTACCCCAGTCTTTATTCCTCTTGTTAATTAAAAGCTTTCACTAATATCAATGAAAGACATATATTTGGCCACAAATGCAATGTTTCTCACGGCTATAAGTTTCTGGACATATTTAGGTGGCTAATTTAGCTGGAACTTTCAAACGAACATAAAATTATTTCTTTCCAGTTTGCTTTCATTTGGGAAAAGCAAGAATTGTTTCTATAAAATGTGAACACTGGATTTGTACACATATAATTGATTAGCACTGTAGGACTGTCCTCCCGTTGTTCATCGATTTGCTCGAGCAGGCCCAGTAACGTCTCCATCGTGAGACTGTTGTTATTGTGTTTGGCATATCAAATACGTCACAGGTAGCTTGTCAGGCTTTGCCGTGCAGGCAAGATACTCTCGGTAGCTTGCCAGGCTCTCTGAGAGGCTCTCTGCGAGGGATGGAGGAATCGAACTTGGGTCGGCCATGTGGGCCGCATACAAGGCAAACGCCCTACCCGCTGTGCTATTGCTCCAGCCCTATAATGGATAAAAGCCAGATTTATGTGCTTCTCTAAAAAAATGATCCAGTACAAAAAAGTAGACTATTTCCTAGTTATCGTAATTGAAACGAGCCTATTCAAGCAGACAGAGGGACTCTGATAATCCAGCGGGACATGTAAAACTTTTGTGATCACAGAAGACACAAGGAACCTGAGGTTTCATGTAAGTTTTTTTCACTCAGAAATTAACAATAGGGGCCAGAACAGTAGTATAGTGGGTAGGGCGTTTGCCTTGCAACCCAGCTGACCTGGGTTCGATCCCCAGCATCCCATATGGTTTCCCAAGCACCGCCAGGAATGATTCCTGACTGCAGAGCTGGGAGTAATACTTGAGCATCGCTGAGTGTGACCCAAAAAGAAAAAAAGGAAAAAAAAAAAAGAAGTAAAAAAAAAAAGAAATTAACAATAAAATTACATAAAAGTTAATTGCAAATAAGCACACTAATCAATGTTTTATCTGTTGAATAATACCACGCTTACATTACCAAGGAGATGTAGGGACACTAAGCTCATGGTGGAGGGAAGTGGAACCCTGTTGGAGAGCATGGGGTTAAAATGTAGATGCATGATGGTCTACCACTAACAGTGTTATAAATCACATTACATAAAACATTAACATAATAAAAAGTGTGGCACTGCACAACAACTATACAGCCTGCTTTCCTAAATGAGACCGGCATCCTCCACAGGGACAGTGAATTAACAGACAAACTCTCTTCTGCAACTTTAGCTTTGCCAAACATCTCTGTTAAAGTAAATGACAGAACAGTTGGAGAAAGAATCAGCATTCACTCTGAAGATCAGAAAATCCACCTGGAAAAACAACCAGGTCTAACCCAGAAAAGTCAAGGAAGGGCATTCACTCACTTTAATGAATACAAAGCAAACTCTTCCCTCCAAAGAGGTAAACACGAGCTGGGCTCTTTTAGAAAAGCTTTCACTTTGCTCATTAATGAAGTGGAAACCAAGAAGACTCACCCTATAGAGAGGATGGCACTTGTCCCTGAAACATGGGGCCAGTCGCGCATATATCTGTAGGCTGTAGTAATAGGCTGCTAGCTGAAGAGACAACGCAGAGTGGGACTGCTTTTCAAAGCACTGATTCGCATCTAGCACCTAGAAGGGAACATAATGAAACTCAGCTGAAAGGAAATTAATAAGATCATCATAAGCCAGTACATTTCTAGTGGTTACTGCAGAACCTTGGTTCAAAGTTTCCATCCTCAATTCAAGCTCAGCTTTCTAGGACTCCATTGACATTCAGTTGGCTCTATAAAGGCAGATCCTATGCATGTAAAAGTGGATTTAAGAACATCAACATTTCAGCTCGCACTGCAGAATTTATTCCGATACTGACTGTAGTGTGGAGGAGTCGAGAACAATTGAAGGAAGTGAAACATGGATATTTAATGGTAAAATTCCCTAGTACATACTTTCACTTTGTTCATTTTTAAGCTCTTCGTCAGTAAGGGTAAACTTACCTGTGGTAAAGCAAGAAGATAAGAGAGAGCCAAGGTCATGTCATTGGGCAAAGCATCACTTGCTAGTTGTAAGAGAACTGTGCAGAAATGCAGAAAGAAAATGCATTATTTTACTTTAGAATCCATATGACATTCATAGTTACTAAATGCCCTGATTTACAAAAGTCTATTTGGCACACTGAAATAAAAGATCACATGGAACACATCAGGTAAATGGTAACCTTGCCTTAACTCAGACAACTAACCCTGCCTTAACTCGAACAAACTTGGCTGTTTTGTTACTTAAGAAAATATTGTTAGTAAAGCAGCAAAGCTAAGTAAAAAAAAAAATCGGTGAGGATGATTTCTTCCAGCTAGTCTCAGCATGTTTTACATATTGAGATTGCAATACATGCTTACATATATGTGCACTTGCTAAGACCATGTATATGTTTACATATATATGTAAACGTATGTATATAATGAGAGATAATAAAGAAATAATCATAACCTGAGTCCTAAAAATCAGAATAACAAAATAGATTTGGAAATACATATTTAGAATAATGCTTTCATTTCCACAATGACGAAATACAAATTTAGAATAATGCTTTCATTTCCACAATGACGAAAATATGGTTTTGTTCACGGTCCTCTTTGATCACATTCCACAAAAAGACAGTAGCTGCCTTCCACTGTATGGGATCTTTTAAAATTAACTTTGTAATAAGGCACCATGCTCTAAAAGGCCATTAGTAGCTGAGTTTCAGATATACGATGTTTCAACACCACTGCCCTCACCATTCCCCGCAGCCCTACCCCAGGTTCCCTCCTACTCCCCTGCCTGCCTCCTTGACAAGGACATTTTAAAATTTGGTTGTTGTAGTTTAGGGCCTCGTGCTTACAGTGGTGGCAGCTCTGAGGTTTACATATATAAAATATATCATCTCTCTCTCTAATGCTTACACGGTTGGCTCAGAGGGTTGATGGCTCTGTGCTCTTCTCTCTCTCTCTCTCTCTCTCTCTCTCTCTCTCTCTCTCTCTCTCTCTCTCTCTCTCTCCCGCCTCCTCTCCCCCCTCCCTCTCTCATACCCCCTTCCTCCCTCCTTCTAGGTTCATCATTCCTGGCAGTATTCAGGAAACCTATGTCCTATACCATATGATCCGATCAGAGTCATTTGCATGCAAGGCAGATGCCTTTTACCCCAACACTATTTCTCTATATCCGCCCCCCACCCCTCCCCACACACAATCATTAACAGCCTCTTCACAAAAAATACTGATACAAGCAATCATCTGTCACTGTCACACTTTTAATGAAAGAGACTAAACTAAAATAAAGTCTGTGTTTATACACATTTCATCTTCATACTTAGGTGATCATATGTAATCAAAATATAAATCTTTCATTTTTGAAGAACACAGGGACTCAGATATAGAAGATTTACCCCCTTTTCAGGATCGATAGCAGGAGAGCACACCCAGCTGTACTCAGGGCATACTTCAGGCTCTACACTCAGGGACCATTCCTGGTGGGGGTTGGCGGGGGGGACACAGAGGTGCTAGGGACACAACCCAGGTCATCTGTGTGCAAAGCAAGTGCCCTAACCACCCCACCGTACAATCTCTCAGACCCCAGATCTAACTTCTTAAGTATGTTTTACTGGGACTAAAATTTAATTCATTTGTATGATCTAAGTTCAGCTGACATGTGAGCAAAGGGGTGGGGGTGAGGTGAGGAGCAACCCACAAAGTGAAGTGTCAGAAAGTGACCTAGAATTCCTATCCCCCTGGAATAAGTCCCAGGGATTAGGAGCTTTCTTCTCTATCCTCTACAAAGAGAGCTGGTCTCTATTCATTTTCTTTGTCTTCTCAAAACCTAATGAACCAAATTGGCTTACCAGTCAGCCTCAGGCCTCCCAGGGAATCGTACTGTTTTAGATGTTTCTAATCAAAAACTATTCGTTTCTAGGCTCATTTTCAAATTCATTCCTTCATCTAATATCAACAACAAATCTCTCTGAACCAAACACTGCCTTAGGAAAAGAATCAGAGTTGCTGCCTTTGAGGAAAAAAAAAACACATTATGCCAACGAGAAGTCTCTAAATTTAAAAAAAAATCAGTATTTGCTCTGACAATTCAACATACCCTAAAGTTTGAGCAATTATGAGAACAAGGAAGAAGTACAGTACTGATGAATACACTCTTGTCGACATTTAAAATGGAAGGATGGGATTAAGTAATACATTTTGCACACCAGGTCATAAATAAAAGAAAAAAAAACATACAATATGGTAAAAATATTGAATTATTTGAATGAAAAAATTGCTCTGAGTCTAGAAATCACAAAGCCCACACACATACACATAAACCCAAGGCTACCATTCTGACTTCCTTATATTTGTCTTCCCTACATTCTACAATTTACATACTAATCATTTCACATACTAATAAGTCTTTCCTTTTAATTTTCTTTCTTATATAGTTTCTCATAAAGTGGCAACTTCACTTACTTTCCTTCCGTTACCATTTTAATTTCCTTCAGAAATTGTCCATTTTTATGCACAAAGAGGCCAATTTTCAAACCAGCATATCTGAAAGCATTTATCAAAATTACTCCTGTCTCATCAAAGAAATTCTTCCAAGGTCCTTATTTTAGGTCTGTCTGTAACTCCAGTTACTAGAAGGCATTCTCTCAGAAAGTGTGACTGGGTCAATCTGTGGCCTACCTGGGAAAATCAAGTCCCTTGCTATCTTCCAATCAAACCTAATCTTGGCAATTTATCGACCTCATCGTTCTATTCATTTAATATGTATTTGGCCATTTCCAAAACCCAAGGTATTCATAAGGGATTAAAATGTTACTGGTAGGGACTGGAGTGATAGCACAGAGGAAAGGGAGTTTGCCTTGCATGCAGCCAACCCGGGTTCGATTCCCAGCATCCCATATGGCTCCCTGAGCACCGCCAGGAGTAATTCCTGAGTACAGAGCCAGGGGTAACCCCTGTGCATTGCCAGATGTGACCCAAAAAGGAAAAAAAATGTTACCGCTAAAGATAAAGGTAAAGGTAAAGGCCCTCCCGTTGTTCATCGATTTGCTCGAGCGGGCCCAGTCACGTCTCCATTGAAGACTTTGTTGTTACTGTGTCTGGCATATCGAATACATCACGGGGAGCTTGCCAGGCTCTGCCGTGCGGGCGAGATGCTCTCGGTAGCTTGCCGGGCTCTCCGAGAGGGGCGGAGGAATCGAACTCAGGTCGGCCATGTTGGCTGCATGCAAGGCAAATGCCCTACTGCTGTGCTATCGCTCCAGCCCAAGATATTCCAAAGAATATGTGAGAGAGACTGAAGAGAATTCTGAAACAAATCAACACAAAAAAAGGTTTTCTTAAAAACAATCAATGATAGCACAGTTATAATAAAAGCATACTTCCCTGGAGATAGGGAGAGAACCTCTATGTGAAAGTCTCCATGTGAATACTAAAGTTCAAATAAGTTTCATTTTCTATAAATATATTATTTCATAGATGTAACTCACAAGATGACCAGGCTCTACCCTGAACATAAATAACTGAAAATGAAATTTTAAATCAGGAAAAGAGAACAGAAATTTAATTTCTATGAATACATAAATACTTTTTTTCTTGCTTTTTGGGTCACACCCAGAAATGCTCAGGGTTACTCCTGGCTCTGCATTCAGGAATTACTCCTGGCGGTGCTCAGAGGGCCGCATGGGATGCTGGGAATCGAACCTGGGTTGGCCACATGCAAGGTAAATGCCCTACACGGTACCATCAATCCAGCCCCAATTTCTATGAATTTTAAATCACCGTTGTGACAAAAATCCCTGCCAGAGAGAAGGCTAAAGGATTCTCATTGTTATTTTTACTAAGTAGTGCATATAATTACATACATATACAAATGGCTGCTCCAAGCAAAACTAGGGCAGACTTTAATATAGACAATAATCCATTAATATATTATATATTACATATGCATCAGATTTAGAAAATGTATTAATAATTTCTTTAATTTTCTGTATTTTCTTATGCCTTGACAACTATCAGGTCTGTGTTCATTCTTGAGAAATTACAACTCACAAGTTCCAGTGTTAATTCCTTCCTAAAAAAAGGAATAATATGTCTGCTGCGTGATATACAAAACAGATCATTCCGAGGAAACACTTTTAATCACCTCCTCTGTAGATTCTATATACACAGGAGGCAATATTTTTGGGTCTTACCACCCCAAGGTTAGGGTTCAGGCAACTAAAGATTATTTCCATATCCCAGATTTCACCAACTTACTTAAACTATTCATCAGAAAGTGAATGTTTGTGTAGAATTTTGAATCCTAAGCATGAAGCAATAGCACAGTGGTAGGGCATTTGCCTTGCACGCAGCCAACATGGCCGACCCGAGTTCGATTCCTCCGCCCCTCTCGGAGAGCCCGGCAAGCTACCGAGAGTATCTCGCCCGCACGGCAGAGCCTGGCAAGCTCCCCGTGACGTATTCGATATGCCAGACACAGTAACAACAAAGTCTCCAATGGAGACGTTACTGGGCCCGCTCGAGCAAATCGATGATCAACGGGAGGGCCTTTACTTACTTACTTAAGCATGAAGACCAGTATAAGAACTCTGACATGATTTTCCCTCATATTTTCTGCCTCTAGAAAAACCGTAATTTATCCCCACGGGGCCTTATCTGACCTAACATAATCTAGGAATCTAAATACAAACATCTTCATAACATTCATTCCCATGTTTGGGTGTCTTCTCATATCAAACTCCCAATATATATTAGAAAAACAAGGAAAATGATCTATATAAATGTAAGTGATGATCCAGAAATTCATATAGATCATGAAAGTGATCTATATAAATGTAAGAACTCTGGCATACAAAAAAAAAGTGTGAAAGAAATTATCTCTATTATTCTAGAGAGTTCTGGGATGAAAATTAAAATCCATCACTGTTTACTGTATGGCATTGTATTTCAAAATTCAGAGGAAATGATACCATGCACAGAGCACAGGGTACATGATATGTTACTCATCAGCACCCCCAATAACTAGACAAGATCATTTGTGCTGCAA